AAAATTATTCTTGTAAATAAATAATCTAATAGTATTTAATAATTCTGTTGTAAATTCTTAAGAACAAAAAAATGGTATAGATTCCTTTTCATCACATGTTTAGGTTTTATTTCAATTCTAATCATGGCTTTTTAAAACAATAAACATTGCCAAGGCGTGGAGGTAGTTAAAATAATAGCTGTTTTAATGGGGAAATTATCATTTTAATACATCGTTTTATTGCCGATACGACGGTCCAAGATTGCCCCAAATTCTGTCTCCCAAATTTGACCTCAGTAAATAAAATTAGCTCTGTATGTGTGAAAAAACGAAAGAATTTCGCATTTTCATGAAAGATTCATTAATCTCTTTTGAAACTAGTTATTTATAAATGTTCTACAGGGTGGTCCGAAAGTCTTGTCACTCCGTACATAATATAATTTTCTATTTCAGGAATGTGACATGAAAATGATGGATGTTCATACAGGCCTTCTCGATGTGTAACAGCGTCAATGAAAGTGAATAAACTGAATCCAATACATGTGCTTTGTATTACTGTATTACTTGTTCTTCTATTGTTCTTATGGTAGGGGGGGTGACAAGACTTTCGGACTACCCTGCATATTAATTCCAAAATCATAAGTGGTTTCGCCTGTTTTTAGCGAAAATGAGTTAAGTCGATGGAAGACTTTATTGACATTTCTGCCATGTCAACACGAAGTTTATATCTCATTGAAAGGGGTCGCTTAAGATAATTATAATTAGTGTATGACCATAACTGACTTTCTGACAAGAAGAGACTTTGCTTCATTTAAACAATTCTTAAGCAGTTTAATTATAATTGCTTCCTTTTGTCAGCCCTCGATATATATATTGTCGTTTTTAAATTCTTTATCAATAAAAATACATTTATTCAAGGGTAAAATTTGCATGTGAAATATTACTTGATAAAATAAATGTTTCCCTGATCTGGCATCTCGTCTACAGTCGCTCTCTCACAGACGTGGCGTCGTTCCCCACTGTCTTTTATACAAATAATTTCACGGTAACTGCTCCGATGAGCTACTCCCAAACTGCTTGAATTTAAACGTGCTACTTGTTTGACATTTCGGTCCCACCATTTCACCGTCGAAACTGTTAAATGTAGCCGTCTCTTCTACTCTAATAGCTTCATGTCCCGCACTTCCCATCTGTGGAACTCCCTTCCTCTTACTTGCTTCCCTGATAGCTATAATCTCCGACTATTCAAATGCAATGTCAATCGACATCTTCAGATGCCTTGATCTAATTCCCCAACCTTCTCTTCATCCTTTCCTCTATCACGCCTCTTTACTCTTGTTTTCACTCGCTGTAACCCTTTGTGTGCTAGTGGTACTCCCGCCTTGCTTGGGGTGAAATGCTGAAAAAAAAAAAAAGAAAACTTAATCCGAAAATAAAAAATAGTTTCTTTATTTACAAAAAAATGTACAAAATTTTATTATTATTATTATTATTATTATTATTATTATTATACACATATTTACTCGGACTGGTACTCTCATCTTGGTTGTTATCATCACAATGTTTCAGCCTTCATCAGGAATCTATAATGGTAGGAATCCGAAATTATGAAACCGAAGCCATTTATGAAACCCACATTGGGAGATTGTTTTCAATCGGTCCTTATCACGCTGTTACATTGATTAAAGTTTTAGTTCAGCCAATCGAATTACGTTGAAGTGCGGACAAATGTTTTAGTTCAGCCAATTGAATTCTGTGAAAGAGTCGATGAATGTTTTAATTCAGCCAATCGAATAACATGAAAGAGTGGATATAAGTTTTAGTTCAGCCAATCGAATAACGTTGAAGTGCAGATAAATGTTTCAGTTCAGTCAATTGAATTACGTTAAAGTGCGGGTAAATGTTTCAGTCTAGCCAATTCAATTCTGTGGAAGAGTGGATAAATATTTTAATTCAGCCAATCGAATTACCTAGAAGTCGGAGGATAGAGCGAAAAATGTTATATATTTTTGTTGAGTAGAAGAGACCAGTGATATTACAAAAACAAAATTAACTAGCTCGAATTAACTGATACGAAACATGGACAGCAGAATAAGAACGCCCATGGACTGAATAATAAGATCGATTAGAAATTCCCAGAATGATGCCAACTATGACAGACACCAGAAGAAAATTGGAGACTGAAGCAGCCAAAATCTTGTGATTACAACAACCAATATGGTGATAACAATCCTACTAAATCAGAGTGTAATAACGATTTCAACTGTTTATCCGTTTTTCTTTTTAGTTTATAAGTGTTTACGTAGTCACAGAAAAAAATCACAGAAAAAGTCTCTTTATCCAATTCCAAATTCATGAGAAACTGCCGAGAAAAAATACCACCCCCCGCAAAAAAAAAAAAAAAACAAAAAAAAACAAAAAACAAACAAACAATCATATGATGGATGAGTTGGATGGCTAAAAAGGAAATTAAGCTCGACCTGATAAATGGTTTAATTGAAGGAACTGGGACAATGACTTCATGGATCATCCGAATAACAGTCATTCTACAATAAAAGCAATGCAATTAGCACGGGCCCAAACAAACAAAACTATTCATCTATCTTTCAACACACACACACACACACACACACACACACACACACACACACACACACACACACACACACACACACATATATATATATATATATATATATATTAGCATGACTCAGAGTTTCAGGCAAATTTACAATCTTCAGGTGCTGAATACAATCTGACCGTTATCAGGTTCGCGCCCTCGTGGTGATTTAAAATGATTTATTTGACAATTGTTGCCTAAAAACTATTATTATTAATTATTTATAATTTATATCGATCAAATTCTTAAGTTAAAAAAAATAAAATTAAAAATTCTTTTAAATAAAATCTGAAATTAATTAAACGCGTAAATTGTCAAGGAGGGTAACTCTCTTTTTTGCATAAAATCAGTCAGTTATGTACCACGCGTGATACACGCTAAGGCGATCATGTATCTTTCGATGCATGAGTGACGCAGTAGGTTGCCATTTCTTTCTACGGTAGAACACAGGCTATAGAACCCTGTCCGTTCTGCTATTTACCCATAGCTGAAAGAAGAGGATTTATAGCACACAAAGCAATGTAATGGATTCGACTGGAATTCGAACTCGGCTCTCCGATTCCTCAATCCAATCTGCTATCCATTACACCACCGTGCATAAAATGCGATACTTATAACATTTAAATTACTGACTAATGGAATAAACTAATACTCACGGTTTTAATATAATAATAGGTCGAGACTATATATTTAATGTGATTGAAACCTAGCCTTATAATTAGAAAGGTGGAATTACCTATAGACACGTTATAAATTAATCGAGTACGGTAATATGGGAATACATACGTGTATAGATATATAAAAATGTTATTAATGATGGGTTCTATGGGCATTAACAGGTGTTAAATATATTAATATTCGTAAAATCTATTTTGAAATCTATTTTAATCAGGGTCAATGTGTTTGAGCAGATGTTTGGTTTTATGTATATGTTTAGGAATCAATTCTGTTCTCGTGTTCTGCAAATTAGGGTTATTTAATTGTTTTGATATAATAAGCTTTTCCAACAAACACAAATTACATCTGTTTCCCTTTCTATTGCATGGTTTAGCTTTCGCGATTATCTCCCAGCTAATGGTTAGGTTCTTGTAGTTGTTTATTAATCACCAAACACACTTTCAAAGCGTTGTGCAGTTTTTGTATTTGATATTACTCAGTGCCATTTTGTGGTGATAAACACGCGATTTCCAGCTGTTCTCGGTAGATCTAAAGTAATAATTTTTCCTTTTGTCTTTATGTATGTATATATATTTTGAGAAATGACGTACAGTTTGCTAGAAAGTCTCAGCATCCTTCTATCTGAATTTTCAGTTTTCATTCTCAAAGACTGCATGCTATAGAAGGCAAGAGAGCTGCGTTTGCTCTGTTATTTAACCCATAGCATGAAGAAGATGGATTCATTCCTTTTCCAAGGGCATTAGTGCTATATGAGCAAAACAAAACCAACTGAAACTTAAATTCGGCTAGGCGATTTCACTTTCAGCGCCGATAACCATTACACTATCCGCACATCCAATATATATATATATATATATATATATATATATATATATATATATATATATATATATATATATATATATTGTCATCCACAGGCAAACCGTTTCGCTGTATCACAGCTTAGCAGTGTGGCTAGACATCCGATTGCCTCAAGCCGGGATGGAAACCCATCTGATTTGACATCAGAATTTTACGCCTGAGCTATCAGCGCCCGGTTGAGAGAAAGGCGATTTTTTGCGTATTTATTCTTTGAATAAAGATGGCAGTGACAGAGAGAGTTCAATTCATAGAAGAGCTTTGCATTATCAGTAGTAGTATTCACTGCTTACAAATTCGCGCTTTCTCTCTAGAGTGCTTGACCAAAATTAATTTTTCGAGGGCGTATATATATATATATATATATCATTAAAGTACATTTTGGCAGCAAACTTTCTTTGAAATATCTTTCAATGAATACGATCGACGAGGAAGATTTAATTAATTTCTTATTAATTTTTTTTTCAGCATTATTACGTTTTTGTGTTTTGTAGAAGTAAGGGAAAAATCAAAAACAAAACTCCCTTGAAAATGGCTAAAGAAATGTCCGAAAGCGCTAAGGACAATACAATTCTGGAAAATATTTTTCCTCCCTTACTCATAAAGAACGGAAAAACTTCTTTGTCTGCCGTATTTAATGAAATGTCTATTTATTTTGGTTTCGATCTTTCATATATATATATATATATATATATCAGGAAGAAGATGGATTCATTCCTTTTCCAAAGGTATTAGTGCTATATGAGCAAAACAAAACCGACCGGAACTTAAATAACCGATAACCATCATACTGTCCGCACATCCAATATTATCTATCTATCTATCTATCTATCTATCTATCTATCTATCTATCTATCTATTTCAGTCTGTTTCTATCTATCTATCTATCTATCTATCTATCTATCTATCTATCTATCTATCTTGTCATCCACAGACAGACTGTTTCACTGCTCTTCAGTGTGGCTAGACGGCCGATTGTTTCAAGCCGGGATCGGTATCAGTCAGAGATCCTACCTATAGGCTATCGTCGCACGGCAGAGAGATAGGGAAATTTTAACGTTTTCTATACGAAATACGCCAGTGGCGGATATATATATATATATATATATATATATATATATATATATATATATATATATATATATATAGGGAGACCACAGTGTTTTCTCTTTGCATTAGCCCATGAGAGTTGTGGCCCCTTTTAGTGAGTAGAACTCTTCTGCCTTTTTTTGTCGTCACTTCCGTTTTGGGAGGAACGATCTCTTTTCCTTCCTGACCACCAGAGTGTCCACACACGTGGAAACTGGTCAACATGTATTAGCTATTAGTATCGGTGTGCTACTGAAGGCTAGAACACGTTATTCTACCTAACATAGAATAATTAGTAAACTTTGTGTGGCAAAATACACACCCATATACTAATAAGTGGTGACTCAACGTGGCAGTATATTTTGCAATTTGCAAAATAACTGTTAATGTTAATTTCGTGTGTTAGAGAGTGTTTTTTTTCTTTCTTTCGACACAAATAATTTGCGATATAGGAATGACGACTTGTATAACATGTCAACATGGCTTCCCTTTCCCTCGTGTGATTTTTTTCTCCCATCCTATATTTGAATTTGGCGCCGGCCTGCAACATTAGACTGCCTCACCCTTGAGGCACACTGGTCAGTAACTTACTGCTAGAGTTCACCACACCCATGAGTGGTAATAGCAGTGATAGCCATTTCTGACTTTTTGTTTAAAATATTTAGGTACGTTTGTTTGTGTTTTTTCCTTTTTTTTCTTTCTCTGTGGTGCTTCGCATTGTGAGGCGTATTTCTATGTGCTAACTAACCCCATAGAGAATATACGATATGGATGAGGAAAAAACGGCCGGGGTGTCCGGAGTGAACACTGTCAGCTTAGCCTACTTTAAAGCGGACCCAGCTTTATTTTTCGCACAGTTAGAGTCGGAGTGCGAACTGAGAGGAATTACCTCTCAGAAAACAAAATTTAATTTAGCGGTCTCCAAGTTGCCTCTAGAAGCTGTCCAGGAGGTGAGAGAAATTATTATCTCTCCGCCGAAAGACAAGCCATATTATAAGTTAAAGGAGGAACTTGTTTGGAGGATGTCTGTGTCACGACAAAAGAAATTGTCGCAGCTTTTGCATGAGGAACAATTGGGAGACAGCAAGCCGTCGCAATTTTTACGTCGTTTACAACATCTAGCCGGAGAAAGTAATGAGGATGGCATTATACGTCATATTTTTCTCCAGCGTTTGCCCCCTGCGTATCACTCTGTTTTAGCCGCGGTGGGTGAAGATGCACCCGTCGAAAAGCTGGCTGAAATAGCAGATAATGTAGCTGACCTAACTTCGGGATGCACTGCTCCCGTTTCTGCCGTACAGACGCAAGAGCCAGATCCGCTGGCTAGACTTTTGGAGGGACAACGAAGGTTAGAGGCTAGGATTGTAGACTTAGAGATACGGTTGCAGAAGGTTAGCATTCACCGCTCCCAAAGTAGAGGTCGTGTAAAAGCTGTTAACAAGGACCCCATGTGTTACTTACACAGGAAATTCGGAGATAGGGCTAATTATTGTAAGCCCCCCTGTTCCTTCAATTCGCAACAGGGAAAAGCCTAGGCTGGCGACCGGAGGCGACCCTGTGCGCCGGCGTGGGAGAGGTTTGTCGCTTACTATTTGTTTCTGACCGCACTACTGGTATACGTTTTCTCGTGGACAGTGGTGCGCAAATATCTTTAATTCCTGCCACTAGGGCAGACAAGTTAAAAGGCCCTCACAAACTTACCTTACAGGCCGTGAATAAGTCGCTCATCCAGACTTATGGTCAGAGGTGCCTTACATTGAATTTGGGTCTGAGATGGGTTTTCACCCATTTCTTTGTCCTTGCGGATGTAGAGAAGGCCATATTGGGTGCAGATTTTTTACACAAATTTGGTCTTCTCATTGATGTACACAGACGTTGTCTGACAGACCCTAAGACAAATACTCAATCGTCGGGAGCCATTCATAATGTAATTCCATTATGTCCTACGGTGGCTAACACAGAAGATAACCCTATGTTCTGTGAACTTTTACAAAAGTTTGAGAGTATTACTAAACCGGCTTTTCATAAAGATAGTTTACCCCACAATATAACACACCACATTGCTACTAGCGGTCCTCCTGTTCACAGCCGTCCTCGCCGTTTGGCACCGGAAAAATTGAGTTTAGCGAAAGCGGAATTTACCCAAATGATGGAACTTGGTATTATCCGGCCATCAAAGAGTAACTGAGCATCTCCCTTACATCTGGTACCCAAAAGTTGTGGTACCTGGCGAGCGTGTGGGGATTATAGGGCACTCAACTGTGCCACTAAACCTGACCTCATTCCTCATATACATGACGTAACGGCCATCATTCAGGATAGGTGCATATTTACGAAATTAGACCTTATCAGGGCCTACCATCAAATTCCCGTAGAACCTGATCACATTCCAAAGACTGCCATAACAACAACATTTGGGTTGTTTGAGTTTCTGCGTGTGCCATTTGGACTAAGAAACGCAGCACAGTCTTTTCAGAGATTTATCGACCATGTATTGCACGATCTGCATTTTGTCTGTGCCTATGTGGATGATGTACTTATAGCCAGTTCTTCCATGGAAGAACATATTAAACATTTACAGCTCGTTTTCGAGCGCTTTGAGAAATTTGGGGTTGTTATCAACCCAGTAAAGTGTGAATTTGGAAAGTCTGAAGTTATTTTCCTAGGTCACCGCATCAATTCAGCGGGAGTTTCACCTTCTCCATCTAAGGTGGCGGCCGTTTCTGACTTTCCCGTGCCAGATACTATGAGAAAGTTGCGACAGTTTTTAGGGATGGTAAATTTTTTTCGAAGGTTCCTGCCAAATTGTGCGCAGGTTATAAAACCTCTGACAGATATTCTAACTGATGTCAAAAATTGTGACATAGTTTTGTCTGATGAATCTGTGGCAGCCTTCCACCAAATTAAGGTTTTATTGTCCCGAGCAGTTGAATTGTCACATGTTGTCCCAGGTAGCGAGTTGTGTTTGGCAGTGGACGCCTCTTCGATTGGTGTGGGTGCAGTACTACAGCAGAAGATTGATGACCACTGGAAACCAATTTCTTTCTTTTCCAAGAAGTTAACTTCTACGGAATCCAGGTACAGCACATTTGGACGTGAACCTCTCGCAGTTTATTCAGCGGTCCGTTACTTTCGACATTTGTTGGAAGGGCGGACTTTCTACCTACTGACAGACCACAAGCCCTTGTTGGGGGCTTTTCAGTCAAGCTCTGACAAGTATTCCCCACGTGAAACCAGACACTTGGATTATCTGTTACAATTCACATCAGATATCCGTTTCGTCAAGGGAACAGACAACATACCTGCAGACACTATGTCTCGTGGCATAAATGCTTTTGTGCTGGATCCGTGCTTGGAACATTAGTCATTTGTGGAAGCACAACTACAGCATCTGCTATGAGAGAACAACACATCCTTGACGTTGTCAAAAATACCTGTTCCAAACACAGAATTGGAAGTTGTATGTGACACCAGCACCGGACGATTGCGCCCCTTCGTGCCGGAGTCAATGCGGAAGACGCTATTCTCCTCCATGCACAATTTGTCCCACCCAGGAGCTAATGCCTCAATACGGCTAATCACAGACAGATTTGTTTGGCCACGCATGAAAACTGACATTCGACAATGGTCAAAGACTTGTCTGCCATGCCAGAGGGCCAAAGTCGGGAGACATACCCGTTCACCTCCTGGATCCTTTCCATCACCCGACGAACGGTTTGCACATGTTCACGTGGACATCACAGGACCACTCCCTTCATGTGAGGGAAAGACATATCTATTGAAATGTGTTGATCGTTTCTCCCGTTGGTGTGAGGCTCTTCCCATGTCGGACATTACGGCACATACTACGGCAAAGACTTTTGTTTCAGGATGGGTTTCCCGTTTTGGGGTCCCTGCTTTAATTACTACAGACAGAGGGCGGCAATTCGAGTCAGACCTGTTCAACCAACTGATGAGGATCTTGGGGAGTAAAAGAGTCAAAACCACCGCTTATCATCCCGAGGCTAATGGCTTAGTGGAACGGTTTCACCGTACACTTAAACCAGCTTTAAGGGCCGTGACGGATCAGGCAAATTGGCTGGAGCATCTACCATTGGTTCTTCTGGGACTCCGCACTGCGGTTAAAGACGATCTTAAATGTTCATCTGCTGAGATAGTTTATGGCACCACACTCAGACTCCCAGGACAGATTAAAGCCTGCCTTTTTGGACACTACCTGGCTCAGCATGGACACTTCAGTGACTACTCCATCACCAGTATCACCTGGGGTAGTGAAAGAGACTGTGACCAGATCTGGCCGTCGTGTTAGATGGCCCAAACATTTATTGACATAAGTCATTTTCAGGGTTTGGGTTCAGCAGAACTATAACTGGAGGATATTCTTCCCTCCACATTGAACTCTTCCTTTTTCATTATGTTTCTTTAAATTTGTAATACTTGTTGTGAAGTTTTGTTTTTGTTACATTTTAGTTGTATCTCTAGTGCAGGTTAATGAACCTGTCTAGGGAGGGGGTACTTGTAGGGAGACCACAGTGTTTTCTCTTTGCATTAGCCCATGAGAGTTGTGGCCCCTTTTAGTGAGTAGAACTCTTCTGCCTTTTTTTGTCGTCACTTCCGTTTTGGGAGGAACGATCTCTTTTCCTTCCTGACCACCAGAGTGTCCACACACGTGGAAACTGGTCAACATGGGTACGGCCTAACGCAACAAACTCTTTCACTCATCAGTGGACGACCTAAGGCCATGAAATTGGTAGGTGATATCTTTGTACTAATTCTGTTTAACCTCCTCGTTCCTTTGGGACAATATGGACATTTATTTGTTTTGGGACATGTATAAATCTTGTGTATATATTTACGAAGGCTGCTTGCCACATTAAATGTTTCATTGGTTACGCTCGCGTATTTCGTCTTTTCATATTCGCATTCAGTGTTAGTGTATCAATGGCTACGCTAATGCTAATATTAGTATCGGTGTGCTACTGAAGGCTAGAACACGTTATTCTACCTAACATAGAATAATTAGTAAACTTTGTGTGGCAAAATACACACCCATATACTAATATATATATATATATATATATATATATATATATATATATTCAGAGGCTGGACCCAAACGTTTGGCCTATAGTGTATATCATCCTTGTTAAACGGCATTCGAAAATATATTTTTTTACTTGGGCTCGAACGACGATCACCGGTGCAAGCATGTAATGCGTCATTATTTTCTCTGTAACTTGTAAACACAAATTTGTAATTTGAAATGTCTAATGGTTTTCGTTGTTACAAAGAAATAACTAGGACGGTTCTAGTAAAATACGATGTAGTAAAATATCATAAGTAATGGAAAGTAACGGAAAGGAACGGAAAGTAACGGAAAGTAACAAGACGTAAAAAGCACAACAAAGATAAGGCTTTCAGAAGCTGCTAGAACTGAGTTAAGTGAATTCTACAATGAATCTTCAAATGCAGGATATCTACCAACCGCCCCACGCGGTCAGATATGGCACAAGGCTAAATTTAATTTGGGGTATTCGAGCTCGTAGCCTCGGCCAAAAATTCCCCGTAGATCTTGTATAAAACGGGGTCGAGTCGCTGTTTCCCGAGACGAGACTCCGCCCTTCGTTTGGGGATCCTGTCTGCCTCCGGGCAGAGAGTTTGACCAGCACAGCCGGAGACGAATCTCCAACTGCAGACCAACATACAGTAGTTACTACTCTATTTATGTGTATAGGGACGTACCCATTATTGTCTGTAGGTATGCTACAACACTCATTTCATATCAGTGAAATGAGCGATTATTTTCCGAACACTCTAATACATACTGGTTAAAAGAATATACAGGATAGATATTTCTAATTAAAAGACTGCTGAAGATAGAAAGATTCAGTTCTTAAGCGAAAACACATGAGGAACGCAAATTCCCTCCTTTTCTAACCCACAACCTCTACACATACTTCTATTCACACTCTTGTTTCTTCTTCCTCAGTAGATAGCTCTCCTAGTATTCCGACATTACGGGTCACACAGCTTTCTTTATTCCCCTCGGTTGGGGACGGTGTATCGTCTCGATACCGTTGATTCGGGTTTCTCGACATCTTACGAAGACTTCGTAATTCCTGTCTGTGGTCGTGGTAACTTTTCTGTCTTTGCATCCAAAGACAACTTTGGAAATCAGGGCTGGAATAAGAAATCATTCAATAAAATGTACAACACTGTTGGTAACTCAAACAACATTGACAATATTGAGTATAAAGAAAATCTGATTAAGAAAATATCTCTATTATTTACTGCAAAATCAAGTTCTCTACTGCACTGTGATTTGAGAACTCTAGCGGCCAACGCTAAATAATAACCAGCCAATAGACTCTCATTTAATTTTTCTGTCATGCGTGTGTCTCCAGTCACGGAGAGTGCGAGTGTGTTCTCCAGCAACGGCTTGTCTTGCAACGCAGTCCCGGGCAACTCCGATCCAACTTTCTCCTGGGCCCATCCCATGTCTTTGGTCTGGTTGGGCTTTCGTTTATATAGATGACTCCCCGACCACAAAAAAATGACATTGATATATTTAATATCCCGACCGTCTTAATGTTAGGAGGTCCTATTAATAATAACATGGCATCCTTTTGTTTTTAGAATGTTCTGTTCTCTTTTTATGGAAGGATAATGTGTTTTTTGAACGGACAGAATCACCATAAACAAATCCAGAGCTTAAGAATTAAACAAAAGAACAAATGACTTTTTTGATAGAAGAGTTTGAGCCACTCTTTTCTGTAAGAACACCCAAGTTTTGGACAGATAGTATAAATGTAAATAAACCCCAAATTTAATTTCCCGGGCTCAAAAATTCGGACAACACATTAATGATGCCTTCTTGTTATCGGTGGGAAGTGGATAAAGCGAGGAACTTCGGTTTTGCTCAAATTTAATGAATCTTGGCTAGTTAACTCTGGATTCGATTCTCATTGAGATCGTTCTTAAATTAATTTTATTGTTTTAATTTTTCCTTAAACAATTCAGCCTACTCTCTTGAAAGTATAATAATTATTACGCAATTATTAGTCTCTCCAAATAATCATCCTGCAATTTCATGCAATTAAATGTTAAAACAAGGTCAGTGCTCTATTATATTTGTAAGTTTTCCAAGTTTGCTTGGCGTGTTCGGGGAGAGTTTAACACTTTTAGGTTTTCGTGCCAAATCACTTGTGCATTGACGGTAATCGAATTCAATAGCCTCTATCAATTTTTTTCATTTAAAATATGTCGTCTTCCAGAGCGTGGCTGGTCAGATATATTACAGGCGCCATTTTTAAAACTCTTAAACTACAGCAGATGAACGGGGCTTAACAGCATCCGTATACACAGCAGAAATGTTTTTACAAACCTTCTGTAGCAGTACTGCCCTTTCGGAATTCATATAATAAGAAATGGTGAACATTTTTTAACGTTATAATCTTCCATAGAGTTAAACTGAAATGCATTATAAACAACACACAGCCGTTTATAATGCATGAAATTTTTCTTCTGTCTTGATCGTTTGACTCAAAACTCATAACTCTTAAATACGTAATTACTTTCCGAAAGCTCTAATATCATTTCGGATTTGTTGACAGTAAAAAAAACCCAAATAAGAGCGAAAGAGAATCAAAATGAAGCTATTGGCTTCATTCAAGGCATTGTCCTCATTTACTTAAGGAATTTAATTCACAAATTTTACAAGAATATTCAATATAAACATTATTCGAAATTCCTTAATCAATACAAATCTCTTTCTAAAAGCTTTTTAAAAAATCAAATTCATTTTCCTTCTCATTTCATCTCGTTTTTCCCGCGTTCTTCATTGTATTTATAGGAAGTGTTTAGAAAATATGCTGCTTTTTTACTTTAATAATGTAACCCGGTGGAGTAATGGATAGCGGCTCGGATTGAGGAATCGGAGAGCCGAGTTCGAATTCTTGTCTAATCCATTACATTCACTTACGTGCTAATACCCTTGGGAAAGGTATGAATCCTCTTCTCCCCCCAGCTATGAGTAAATAGAGGGACAGACCTGGTTCTATAGCCTTGGATGGCAACTGATTTACCATAGAAAGAAATGTCAACCTACTACAGGAAAAAAATCAGTCTCGTTAGTCATGTATCAAAAGATACATGATCGCCTAAGCGTGTATCACGCATGGCACATGACTAACTAAATGTAACAAATAATATATAAAATATGGTAACGTTTTGCTTTTTTTTAATGTTGTAGTAAGTATTTACTAAGCTTTTTTTCATCTGTGCTTCCTGGACAATCCCGCAGACGAAGAAGAGACTTGAAGCAACAAATGTGGATCTACAGAAGGATGCTGAGGATATCATAGACTTAACCTGTAAGCAACGATGAAGGTTTAGAGAAAATGCAAACGAAAAAAAGACACGTACTTAACAGCAGAAAGAGGAAGTTGATATTTCCCGGGCACATAATAAAGAAAGATGGTTTAGAAAATTTGACACTCACAGGATATATTGAAGGTAAGTAACCCGCTTAACAAGCTTGTATAAATGGATGGAAGAACAGGCACACATAATGAGGAAAGAGGGATTGGTGAATTTGACACTCACGGGACATATTGAAGGCAAGAGGAACAGAGGAAAACATCGTATAACCTACATAGCGAGCCTTTAAAAATGATTGGCAGAACAGAGTTTAAGAGAGACAGCAAAAAGACAAAATTTTCTAAGAGCTACAAAGGAGAGGAAATTGTGGAGATCTATGATCGCGAACAAAAGAAAAAGCCAACATTAAGGAATCATCCGGGGAAGACTGAACACACAATAGCGAGACCAGATTCTTACGTAGAAACTTACTTAAAGTACCTTAATTATATGAATTTATCTATGGTAATAAATATTAAGCTTATCTAGAGGCATAGGTCAACGTCTAATTAAAAAAAAATCATTAAATATTTTGAATGGCTTCTTGGTCAGGTCGACAACTCATCAGGCCTGTCGCTTATGTACATAGGGTGTCCAATGCTGACCTCCCAAGATGCAACGTTGGGGGAATTGTGGCTTTCCAGATGCGGTCACAATTTCGCTGAGCTGGTCATGGTTCAAGGATGACAGAATACCTAAGGTCCTCATGTATAGCCAGCTTCACAGTGGACAAAGCAATATTGAACGGCCGTGGCTCAACTATAAAGACAAGCTAAAGAGTAATCTCTCAGCTGTTAATGTGCCTCATACTGACTTCGAGCAAGTTGCCCTGGATAGAAATAACTGGTGGTATTTGTGCCATGGTGATATAAAATTCAAAATTAGTCGTATTAAGAGACGAAAGACAACGGCGAAAAGCATCTGCAAATATTCATGAAAAATATATGGACTGGTTGCACAATATATGCAGGTCATTAGCGGGACTGAAGTGTCACATACGGCACAAACATAAAAAGTGAATGAGGTTGTCGGATCCTCATAATCTTGTGTGTGTATGCATCATATATATATATATATATATATATATATATTAAAGACATTTTTATGTTTAACATTCTTTTTATAGATACAAGTATTTAAGTAAATACTCTGTTTATAATAAACAGTATTAAATAACATTTATCGGCCTGAATGTCCGAGAAATTTTCATAGAAAATATTCGTCCTTTGACAGGATTCGAACTTGCATCCTATACGGAAGCCGTCATTTACGCTGACGTGCCTTAACCGACTCGACCACGGTCAGCGAGATGAGCCGGACAGACCTTGTGCAACAGTTTGTCAAGAGGTTTGAGAACGAGCGGGCAACCTCGCGGACCGGAAACTCTATCACAGAGAAGTGGGCGACTTTGCAGGACACAATGCACTGCACTGCTTTGGTCACCTTTGAGAGAAAGACCTCAAAGTCATATGACTGGTTTGAGGCAATGTCCGCCGAGATGGCTCCTGTCATTGGGGCCAAGCGCGCCGCTCTTGCAGAATACAAGCGGTCACCCAGCAAGAGGAACCTGCAGATTATCCAAGCTGCCAGGAGCAAAGCTCATCAAACTGCAAGACGCTGCGCCAACGAGTACTGAACAGAGCTTAGCGAAACCATCCAGACAGTAGCAATTACAGGGAACATAAGAGGGATGTACGATGGCATCAAGACGGCAATGGGACAAGATAGCTCCCCTCAAAACTAACCCCCGGGGAAGTCTTCGAAGACAATGGGACAACAGATAGAGAGATGGGTGGAACACTATTCCGACCTCCACTCTAGGCAAAATGTTGTGACGACCGCAGGCCTTGATACCATTGAGGTCCTGCCGGTCATGTAGGGCCTCGATACCGAACCGACCATAAAGGAGCTTAGCAAGGACATTGACAGCTTGGCCTCAGGGAAGGCCCCTGGCAGTGACGGGATCCTCCACTGCAAGAATACCCTACTGCTCCCATTGCACGATATTCTCTACCAGTGCTGGAAAGAAGTGGCTGTACCTCAGTTTCAAGCCGAGCTTCTCGACTTGATGGTCGAACTCTCTGCTTCTGAGCAGAAAGGAACCCGGACGAGGTTCCACCGAAGGGCGGAATCTCGTTCGGGGAGAAATGACCAACCCGATCTCGTTTAACGGGTTATACGGGCATTTTTTGGCCGAGCCTACGGGCTCGGGAAACCCACGGAAAACTCGGCCTTGTGCCACATGCAACCCTCGTGGGGGGTGGCTAGATACCTCAGGACATGAGAGATGCCAAGATCGCCCCTCTGTACAAGAACAAAGGTGAGCGAAGCGACTGCAACAGCTACAGAGGCATCTCGCTACTCAGCGTAGTGGGCAAAGTCTTGGCTCGGGTCATCTTGGTCCGCCTGCAGAAACTCGCCGAACGTGTCTACCCAGAGTCGCAGTGCGGTTTCCTAGCTGAAAGATCAACGGTAGACATGGTCCTCTCCACCCACCAGCTCCAGGAGAAGTGCAGAGAACGTCAGATGCCACTGTACGTCGCTTTTATTGATCTCACCAAGGCGTTCATTCTCGTCAGCAGAGAAAGCCTCTTCAGAATCCTGTCCAAGATTGGCTGCCCACCCAAGCTGCAAAGCTTGAGTGTCATTCCACAGTGACATGCGGGGGATCGTGCAGTTCAATGGCAACACCACGGAGCCCTTCAACATCTGCAGTGGGGTCAAACAGGGCTGCGTTCTCGCTCCCACTCTATTCGGGATTTTCTTCGCATTGCTTCTGAAGCAGGAATTCGGCACATCGAGAGAAGGGATTTACCTGTGTACGAGATCAGTTGGCGGGTTGTTCAATCTCGCTCGCCTCAGAGCCAGGTTCAAAGTACGCGAAGCCCTTGTCAGAGACATGCTTTTTGCCGACGATGCAGCGGTAACGACTTACACCCAGTGTGAACTTCAGTCACTGATGAACCTTTTCTCCAAGGCCTGCAGAGACTTCAGGCTGATCTTTAGACTGAAAAAGACAAACGTATTGGGACAAGGTACCGAAACACTACCAGCCATCACTATTGATGACTATGAGCTCAGTGCGGTCCATCAGTTCCCGTACCTTGGCTCCACCATCACTGACAACCTCTCCTTAGACGCAGAGATTGACAAGAGAATCGGAAAGACAGCCACAACAGTTGCGCGTCTCACAAAATGTGTGTGGACCAATCCCAAGCTGTCGGTGACGACCAAGATGGCAGTGTATAACGTCTGCGTCATTAGCACACTGCTATATGGCAGCGAGGATCACGTACGCCAAGCAAGAAAGGCGTCTGAACACCTTTCACATGAGGAGCATCCGCAACATCCTGGGAATAGTGTGGCAAGATAAGGTGCCCAACACTGAGGTCCTGTCTCGAGCAGGTTTGCCCAACATCTTCACACTGCTCAGACAGCGTAGACTCCGTTGGTTGGGCCACGTCCATCGCATGCCAGACGGCCGCATCCCCCAAAAACCTCTTGTATGGAGAGCTGGCCACTGAAAAGAGACCTGCCGGGTGGCCACAGCTGCGGTATCGCGATGTAGAGAAACGCGACATGAAAACTATGGACATCAATACAGAGTACCGAGAGAGCCTGGCAGCCATACGATCCGAATGGAGAGGAACTTTGACCAGAGGAGGGGAAACTGACACAAGTCGCCACGGAAAGGCGGGCCCGTAGTAATTAATGTGACAGCTCCAATAGACCAGAGACAGAACACACATGCGACCCCTGCAACAGAGATTGTCACTCTAGCATCGGCCTCTACAGTCACGGATGTCGATGCTCCAGTCAAGCAGAAAACATAGATGCTACCTATGGTCAAACTTGACCAACGGAGGCTTACACATTTGTTCATCTTGAAAATTTCCGTTAGTTGATAAATTACTAACAGCTTTGCTCTTATGGAACTCTCCTGTCATTCTATACATTTACCCGGGCCGGGAAGTTAGAAATTTGCTTATGTAACCAATTTGCATGTGTTTATACTTTTTTATACTTGAAAAAAAAAATTGTTTAAATATAATTTGAAGAAGACATTCTGTTTAAATATTGTTTAATATTGTCAAATACTGTTTTTTTCTTTTCTTTTTCCATTTTTCAAATTGTGCACTTCTGTAAACTATTATTATTATTAGTAATAATAATAATTTTCTTTCTGATGTTAAAGTTTTTTGTTTAAATGATATATTGGTATAAATACATAACCCGAAGAAAATGTTTCTTGTATTCTGCAAGAGCGGCGCGCTTGGCCCCAATGACAGGAGCCATCTCGGCGGACATTGCCTCAAACCAGTCATATGACTTTGAGGTCTTTCTCTCAAAGGTGACCAAAGCAGTGCAGTGCATTGTGTCCTGCAAAGTCGCCCACTTCTCTGTGGTAGAGTCTCCGGTCCGCGAGGTTGCCCGCTCGTTCCCAAACCTCTTGACAAACTGTTGCACAAGGTCTGGCCTGCTCAACTTGCTGACACCAGTGCGATGATTCCCCTGCTTCTTGCAGCACACAAAGGAGTGGTCTGTATCGCGCTGTGGTAAGAACGTGTGTGAATGAACAAAACCGCCAACGGTGTTGAGCGGTCTCTGACTGCGCACACATTCTGTCGAACTCTCTGTCTCGGCAGAGAGGAACCCGGACGAGGCTTTGCCGAAGGGCAAGGTTTCGTCCGGGGAGGTAGACAGGGCCTGAACCCGTACAGGCGGGTTCAAAGGCTATATTTTTGGCCGAGCCTACGGGCTCGGGGATACCCACAATAAAACCGGCCTTGTGCCATATTCGGTCCTCGTGGGTGGAACGATAAATACTGAACAAAACCGCCATCATATACAGCACGTTTCAATTGCATGCATTCACGCTGGTGGTGTTTCATTCATTTTGACACATTCATTACTAGTACAGATGTTTTTTCCATTACAATTCAAGCAACGTTTGTACAAAAACTTTTTTTGTAGATTTATATAGTTTTATACTTGAAAAAATTGTTTAAATATAATTTGAAGAAGACAGACATTTTGTCGAAATATTGTTTAACATTATCATTGTGTTTTTTCTTTTCTTTACCTTTTTTTAACTCGCGATCGTCTCTTTACTATTATTGCTATTATTATTATTATTATTAATAATAATAATAGCCTGTTTGTTACAATTAATTCTTTTCTTACAGTAAATTCTGATATTCTCTACTTAGTTAATAATAATAATAATGTTTATCATTGAAATTTTAAAACTTTGTGCGCAAACAAACCGTTCAGAATATTGAGATTAAAATAGGAGAAGATCAATAAAGATGGTGATATTAGTGCAAGGAGATTACAAACATCGATCAATTTAAAATCCTCTTTCTGTTATTGTTTTGTTGATCTTTCATCGAGTCTTCTCAAAAAGAAAAAGAAACACCTTTTCTCCTTTCTTCTCTCAGCCAAAATGTCTCTGTGTGTGTGATCACTTGTGGATATTTTCAGATTGTCACGTGACTTAGTTATTTATAAGAGCGCACCAGACACGTCATCCTCTCGTTCGTTCTCGTTCTCTGGCTGTTTATTTCATTTTTTTTTTTTTTTTTTTTTTAGTAAAGAGCAAAGCAGACATCAAGTGATACGACTGTGAGACTTAAATGATTTCCACAAATAAAGCAGAAACCAAAATCAAGCAAAAAGACAATTTACTTTAGAAAAAATCGGCGGTGCAGAAAAGATCTAGGTGTCTGCAAGAGATTTAGTCTACCTTTGCGCATCCGTAGATAAGTTTTTATGAAAGCTCACTCGTCCGAAGATAAAACGTATCTTTGGAACATGTAATACCGTTGTAAGCCTAAGGTCGGACGCAAACGCAGTTAGATACTTTAAACGTTCCACCACTACAAACATGCGCATGTATAAACACATACACATCTGAATTGAAAATTCTGCTTCCCACTAAGCTTATGTATCAATGTTAGAGAATAGTATACTCATTACGTCCAGGGGGACGGCGACCATGTATGAAATATATTCCCACATTTTTTAAACCAGCATTCTTAAAGAAATGAAAACAGGAAAGTAATATATATATATATATATATATATAAAATGTGTGGTGCAGTTTAATTTATATTACAATGAATCATTCATACAAAAATTAATTTAGTAAAGTTAATGAGATAAAATGGCAAATTAACTTCGCTAACTAAATTTTAAAAATGCATTTTTCGGGAAAGCAACTGAGACAGTGATCTAATTATTAAACTATTTAGTTCATGCCACTTTTACTGATAAACGCCTACAACAAAAATTCTTAAATTGCCATATTAGTAAAAAACGCTCTCACTTAAATTTTCAAAAATTCAACCTTAGCGCTGCGACTGTACGATCCACAAGTTTTATCAGTTCTCAATAACACACTTCAAAAAATTGTTTTTCGATTTGCATATTTTTTTTTTGTCTCGGATGCTACCTGAATTTTACCAAAAAGAAAATAGTTTCCATGCCTGATGATGACCAGAGAACCTGTTGAAAGTACTTGCATATTTAAGGAAGACCTAATACAGTTCATAATTTTAAAAAAACAAGGATCATAACATTCATCAAGTGGTTAGTGCATTTTTAAAATTTAACTAGTGAAGATTCGCCATTTTATTTCATTAACTTTGCATTTTGTATGAATGATTCATTGTAATATATATATATAATATAAAAGGTTCAAACACTAATATTCCATGTAATCTCAATCATGTTCCAATTCATCAGACCTACAAATTCAAAAAGAAATCGGAAATATCAATCAATTATTGCTTTGCTGTTCAGATGGGTCCATTGATTATATTTTATTTCCACAGGAAGGTGGTTTTCCTGGTTCCTCAAGTCACATTTCCAAACACACACACACACACACACACACACACACACACACACACACACACACACACACACACATATATATATATATATATATTTATGCATGTTTCATTAAAAACGGCAGACAATTTTTCTTGTGTCCGAACAAGAGCTTTCTTTTCTGAACAAAGGGTGTGTAAGAACTGTCCGAATGTTTTATATTTCCGAGCGCTTTTGGCTATACCATTAGCCATTATCAAGGATGATTCGATTTTTCAGCTTAATTGATTATGTGCGTTCTGTGTATGTCTTAGTGTGTGGTAGGGATGTTTTTAATTTCCGAATACGGTTAGCACATTGTGGCTTTGTTCGTAGATAATATTGTTAAGAGTTGGCCTTTTCTTTTTTTATTATTAAAGCTTCCATTATTTTTCTTTTTACTATTCCATTATTTTTATTATTCCATTTTATTATATTTTATTATTTCATTATTTTTCTTTTTATTATTAAAGCTTCCATTATTTTTAGTCTTTGTGTTTTTTACTAGTATGTTTCTAATGGAGTCTGGTAAATTTATGTGTTTGTTTAAACTGGACTCATAAATAATTACAGCGGTTACACAACCACATGCTTATCCAGACGTCTTAAGTTACACCTATCTGATCACAGCTCCATTAGAACCCATTTAAACACAAACACAAATTTACTAGACTCCATTAGAAACATATATATATATATATATATATATATATATATATATATATATATATTATATTAGTAAAAATATACATACATATGCAAATATATAAATACCCATACATGCATATTTTTTGAATAAAAATTCCAAGAGGATAGAATCCAGGTAGAACTCAATGTTCAGGACAGAGTAAGGATATAATAAAAGGCTTAAACACTAATATTCCATTGGAATCGTAAATACGATCCAATTCATCAGACCTACAAATTCAAAAAGAAAACAGAAAAAAACAACTCCGGAAATAAAAACAGAATTTAGAGATAGTGTAAATATGGGGGGTAACAGACTAGAGAAGGAGGGAGATTCAGCCTTAACAGAGAGAATTTTAGGAGTTATTTCCGGAGTTGTTTTTTTCTACAGTGGTTGAGACAGTTGTGTCTTCCACACTGATGCCAGTGGTCTCTGTTCGAATCGAGGCAGCAGACAGTTCCTTCTCTTGTTTAGATCCGGGCCAGACTAAGCTGGACTTTGTAAACATCTCCGTATATCTATTTATCTAAACAAAATGAAAAGGGATTGAAATACACAGGAAAACAGACAGCGAGCTAAAAAAGATTGATAGACGGAGAGTCAAAGTGACAGATTAAATGAAGGCTGACACACAAAATAGTGGGTGAAGTCCGGTAATGAAGACTCCAACAAAGGTATGATAAACAAACCTACAAGGTAATTACACATCTTTCTACTTTGATGAATGAGCCTGTCTCATGTTGTTTGCAACTTAATAGTGAGTCGCATCAGCTATTTGCACCGTTGGAATCATTTCAAAATCGCAGCAACTTCAGAACGAGGCAGCTGACAGGTCTTCTAATCGGAAAGTCAATGGAAAACGATGAAGAACCGCCATTTTATTTAGAACAAATACGTTATTACATAAAAATAACTCCAGTCGTCACAGTTTATATAGACCGGATTATATGAGTAATTCGAGAAGACAGAGACAAGTATTTGAAATTGTCTAACGTCCTGAGATAATATATTTTCATTGTTCCACAATCTATATTTTTTACTTCTATGTTCATCTATTTCGCTGCTTTTTGTAACAACGTTCTCAGATGCTAGCTTCTTCAGCCTTGAGCATAAGTTGTATGGTTTCAGACTTAAATTAAAACTCAGTCAGTTATGTGCCGTACGTGATACAAGCTTAGGCGATTATGTATCTTTCGATACATGACTGACGAGGCAGATTTTTTTCCCGGAGTAGGTTGCCATTTATTTCTGTGGTAGACCAGCTACCATCCAAGGCTATAGAACTCGGTCTGTCCTGCTATTTACCCATAGTTGGGGTGGGGGAAGAAGAGGATTTATATCTTTCCCAAAGGTATTAGCACGTCAGTCAGTTATGTGCCATGCGTGATACACGCTTAGGCAATTATGTATCTTTTGATACATGGCTGACGAGGCAGATTTTTTTTCCCGGAGTAGGTTGCCATTTATTTCTGTGGTAGACCAGCTACCATCCAAGGCTATAGTTTGTCCTGCTATTTACCTATAGCTGGTGGGAGAAGAAGAGGATTCATACCTTTCCCAAGGGTATTAGCACGTAATGGATTCGACAAGGTACTGTGCCCTAAGACTATTGATTAATAAAATCTTTGTACATATACAGAAGTTTTTATCATCATGAGGGTTCTATTAGGTCACATGTGAAAATGTGGTAATATGGTACATTAGAGACACCGAATAGTCTCTCGCAAGTTTTGTTCTCGTGACTACTGGCGGCTCTGTAAGAGTGTATTAAATAAAAGCATGACCTCAATCCCTCCTTTCTTCAATGAGTTTAAAGTGTTGTAATCTACTGCAGATAAAGAAGAATGCTTTCGTTATAAATTCTCTTGTGTATGTGTGTGTGTGTGTGTGTGTGCGCGCGCTCTCACGCGTGTGTGTGCAGGATGCGATGGATAAATGTCGTCTAAATTACTCCCCTAAGAAAAAGGAAATTACCCTGACATCTCATTTTAACAGATATATTTACCAAAATTACATAAACTTATCTTGAAATACTAAAGAGTAAATTTATTTGATAAAATCGCCATTAACTTCAATCACGGCCTCCAGACGATTTCGGAATCTCCTGCAACTCTTCTGGACGGTTTCCTTGTTTAATTTGGTGAATGGTGCCATAATCCTTGCCTTCAGTTCATCATTTGTGTTACAAGGAATTTTGTTGGTCTCTCGCTCAATTGAGCCACACACATAATAATCAAGGAGGTTACCATCTGGGGAGTTAGGTGGCCAGATGGTGTGGTCGCAGAAATTGTTTTACAGCCATCAATGGGTTCTTCTGCATGTGTGGTAAGGTGCAGATTCCTGTTGTTAGGCACAGGGTCTTTCAGCAGCCAGCATCTTGACCCAGAGCAGCACTAGCTCATCAAGGCACTTGATGTTGGCCATTCGTGTTAAGTCTGAAGTCCTCATCAACAAATACGGGAGTTCTTTTCTTATCAGAACGATCAGAGTGACTTTTCCGAGCTGCCGTACCTTTTTAATCACCATTAGACTCATCCAACTCTTTCCGAATCCTCTGCACTCAGATTGACACTGAAACACCCTGAAATGTTCGTATTGGAGCTTCCAGCACGAATGCCAAGAAGTACAGCATACCGTTTCCAAATTTCTGGTGGAGTGAATTGCGTCATGGTGTTCTTTTTCTCACAAACGGTGCCCAACTGATCCTAGTATACTGTGCAGTCAACAAACTCAAAAACAAGCAACCCGCATGCGCGAAATTAAGAATATACAATGGCGACAATTTACCCATCGCATTTTGTATATATTGTTACGAACCAATTGCGGCAACACAAAATTTAAAAAGAAAAGATAAAAAAGCAACAGTTTTACCACAACGTAGTGGAAGGATTCTTTTACAGGTTCAAATACATGGATAAGGAGAAACCAGCAACAGTAACGAACAACAAATGCCAATATATACAATTTAATAAGATTTAATTATAACAAGACGATTCATGAAAACATTAATGCAAGATAGTGCGTGGAAAGATGTTTGCTGTACATTTCAATGTGGAAAGCTCTATGCGTTATGTATCTGATTTGAATAGTTAAAGGCCACTTAGTTTTAGTCATTCGTCTGAAATAAAATAGAGTTTTCTCTTTTCTTTTGTTTTATATTTCCCTTTTGTTCTTTTAACTTTCAGACCAGTTCATTTCTCCCGTGCAGAGATGTCTTTTGATATATTATTCTCTCTTCACTGTTATGAGTTTTGACCCAAAGAGTTGGTCGTTTACTCTCTTTTTCAAATATTCAGTAATGTAGAATTTATCGTTCGGGTAGGAAAATTCGGCACTGTATAAATCTTAACCTGCGTCCAATTGTCTGTCTTAGGTGATTATCATGCTTAGTAATTCACCTGTGCATTTGATATATGCATCAAATAGTGGAATTGAATTGGAACTCATCTTTATTGCGCGATTACCTTTGGTTGACGGTAACAAGTGAAAAGAGATGTTACTCGCTTAAGACTAAGACTCCTTTTGATTCCTTTTTTATTTTTCCGCTCGACGTTTCGCACTTGATCACGTGATTTGGCACACGTGAGAACCTATTTTTAGATCTCGCTTGGACCTGTTGCTCGGTCACCAGCCTATGTGAAATAATTGTTCTTCTTGTAGGCGACTACTATTACAGATTGAAAGAGAGACGGTGAGTGGATATACTATATTATAGTGATGTGAAAAGAGAGATGTTTCGCTAAGTGTAAAATGTGTGTGGGTAGGGATTTTGGTTGCGTAAGGATATATCAATATATATATATAGTTAATAATGATAAGTGTTTTCTAAAAGCCATGGTACCATGATTCTGTTATCAATGGATTTTCCTTGATCTTCTATAAACTTATCCTACTTTCAGCTTAACTCTGTATTCAATTTTAAAACAACGATTTCAGTTTGAATCTTCAAATTGTTGAAGCCGCTGACAAGTCAATCGTTAATCTGAAGACCACAAGTGTGGAGAATTTCTTGTATGTTAATGAACTTTCAATCCCAATTCTTATCACCGTCTGATGAGTTGTGTTTGTAACTCGTGGATGCGCTTACAGATAAAATTACAGATTGACTTACTTGATTATGAAAAATATTTTTAAACTTCTATCATGCGTTATTCATATGAGCCATCATTTCATTATAACTTTACACAGTAAACGTTTGTTTAGACTGCAGCAATTGGAAATAAAGAATGTCGTTTTATTCTTCAGAAATATTTTCTTCAGTAGATTTATATTTTAAAGGTTGTCTTGAATCTGGGCACGGTTATCATTTGTCAACATGATTAATTCCAATTATACACAGTTCTTAGGGAAGTCGTGAGCATTTTCTTGTTTTTTTGTGTAAAGTTGCATTTTCAAGGGATACTTATTCTAGAAGCGGTGTTCAAAGTCAACTGCTAAGAGGGGCGTAGCGAGTTGTTCGTGAGCGACGCATAGTTGAAGCAACAGAATTTTTTGGTGCAGCTAGAAAATAACGAGGATGCAGATATACAAGCATAAGCCAACCAGAATGACGCTTACGATATAATCGACAAGAATTGGAGGACATTGTTAATTTGAAAGAGACCGTATTCTTCCGTTTCATACTGACATCCATAGAGTATAATTTAAGAAATCAATGAATGATATCTATCTATCTATCTATCTATTTAAAAATTATAACATAAATATGTTACAGCATCACTAAAAAAATAACCATTTCGTTTCAACACCATCACTTGATAAGAAATCAGAAGTGTTGAAACGAAATTGCCATTTTTGTAGTGTTGCTATAACATATTTATGTTATAATTTTTGAATAAATACTATTTGCTCTACTTTGTATTGAGCACTCTTTTAAGAATAGCGTTTTTTGTTATTGGAATTTTATTCCGTCTACACCAATCCTATACTTGAATATCTATCTATCTATATATCTATCTATCTATCTATCTAATTTTGTACATATCTATCTATATCTATCTATCTATCTATCTAATTTTGTTCATATCTATCTATCTCTCTATCTATCTATATAATTTTGTACATATCTATCTATCTATCTATCTATCTAATTTTGTTCATATCTATCTATCTATCTAATTTTGTACATTATCTATCTATCTATCTATCTATCTATCTATCTATCTATCTATCTATCTATCTATCTATCTATCATTGTTAGTGAGCTATCATTCGCTCTTCACAACTTTTAGTTATGCTTTCCCCTTTGTTACCCTAACCTTTAACCCTTTATCATCCCTACTTGTCTTTGTTCTGCAATTCATTCCTTACAAGGCATTTCATAAAATGACCTCGTGCTAAATTTGAATTCTTAAAAGTCAGTTCTTGTCTATTTTCACTTTCTCTTTTATCTCTTTCGAAGATGACGATTTAAATCTCACTGCATTTTGTTGCACCGCCATTAAGCTTTCCTATTGACCATGGTCGTGGTATCTGTACGCCATGAAGAAAGCTTGACAAAAGAGCGAACGGATAAATACAGCCAATTCTCCTATGATTACATTCTAAATGGCTGCCATATTCACGGCAGGTTTTCATAAAAGGAAAGCCGCTGTTAGCATTGCTATTGCTATGCTAGTCATTTGACGAAACTAAAGTGATACGCTTTCCATGTCTAACGCTGGGAGTAGATTTATTTACGACGATTCTTTCGTCTGGCTTATAGTTCTGCTTTTAACCGTAGATTTGCCAACCAAGAAAAATACAAGAATGTTAGAGGTGATTTCATCTAGCTTAGGTCTAGAAAAAAATCGAGCAAAATGTTAATTCAATTCTATTTCACTTTCTTTCAGTTTATGTACCACTGCTCTTGTGGTGATTATAATGGATGAATGGTACAGATTAATTAATAATAGTAAATGTGTTGATGCTACATAAGGTAAGATTTCATGGCTTCTGATCTTAATTGACTGGAGGGGTTAACATCTAAAATGAAGAACATTAATAAGATCTCTGACAGCTTCATCTACTCATAGGAGTATTATCAATGTACAACATGTAAACACTGTACAAGCTAAGTATCATTTAATATATGAATTTATTGAAATAGAATTCCTATATTTACAAAGTTGCTTTACTCCAGGTCTCTGGTAGTGGATTGTACTGAACAGAAAACAAAAAGCGACGGCAACAACGACGACAGGATCAACAACAAAACAACACTGATAATAATAATAATAATAATAATAATAATAATAATAATAATAATAATAACTACAAAAACCTGTGAAAATTTCACGTTTTTTTATTTGAATTTTCTGATGAATTCTTAAGTTAGTGATTGAGTAAGCATATGGTGTGTTCCACAACAATAAAATATCCGTAGAAATTCCTTAAACGCATCGTTAAATATTTGAGCTTAACAACTTTCGCAAAATATTGCAATAACAATCATAAATATGAATGCCGGTCGTTATTTTAAGAAGTAAGTGGGTACAAATGAAAAGATTTAAAATTGATAACTTCTTCCATTTCATTGAAACAGCCGTTAAACACTTTTATCTTCCCTTCTTTCTTTTTCTTCTTTCTTTCCTTTTCATTTTTCCTTTCTTTCTTTTTTATTTTTCTTTCTTTATTCTTTCTTCGTTCGTCCTTTCTTTCTTCATTTCTTTCATTCGTGTGTCTTGTTTTTCTACACAGTCAAAATGGAATAGTCCATTATTTATGAGGTATTGACAGGAGACGTTAAACACTTCTTTCTTTCTTTCTTTCTTTCTTTCTTTCTTTCTTTCTTTCTTTCTTTCTTTCTAGCCAAATCCCTGTCTTACGAACAATTCTCTTAATAATAATTTAAAAACTAATTCAGCAGACGATGTTATTTTATTTATGGCAACTGAATTTTTTTTGCCTTACTCGATTTCCATCGTTCGATATTGTGCATCTGAAAAAGGGCGCTTTTATCCCGGTCCCCATGGTTGAGATCAAAGTGTAGTACTTGTTCTTATCAACTTCATCTGATTCTCTCTCTCTCTCTCTCTCTCTCCATTTCTGTCTAAGCTTCGTTCTTCTTTCTTTCATTTTCTCAATGAAACCAAATAATGTCTTTTCCCTCTTTCCACGCCACGATGACGTGGATTAGTTTATTGTGGTATTGACAGGGCGTAACGGTCGTGCTAACTAACGCTGGGAGGGACAAGCACGATTATAATAGGATAATAATAATATTAAAAATCTATGGCTACTGATCTTAATTCACTAGAGGTAGATGATGTACATGTTTTGATTTGGTGAATTAAGATGGGCAACAGTAAATATTCCGTTCAGTACCACAGATTTGTTTGTCATATTGTCACATGGACATAACCAGTAGGGCATGGCCTCTAGCAATCGAATCGCTGTGCATCTCTGTTCATGAGCGAGAGTTGTTCGGGAGCATCATGGCCGGTTGTTGAGAGGGTTGTTTTCTTAAAGTTGAAGGATGTGGCAGCCGAGGCCACTTGGGAGTCGTATCTAAATACTCTCAATCAGAGACTGTCTGGCCCGGACTGGGTTAGCTGATCTATAAATATTTCTAAGTGGGATCTACTGGCATGTCCACACGCTGCTTTTATCAAACCCTGATACCATATGGGGCACATTTGGCCTTGCTGCATGTGTCCCGTATACACCTTTCAGTGCTATGATGGATATATTGGGATTTGAATATTTGTACCTTAGCGTCACTTTGTTGGTGTGTTACTCTCTATCTCAATGCTTCTACTACTATTACTGCTAATACTAATTTTATCATTGGAAATTGAGCTATCGAGTGAATACATAAAACCGAGCGATGGTAGATTAAATCAAGCAGCCAATAGAAAAGGAAGAAATCAAAAAGATGCAGAAAAGGAAGGATAGGAATATTTCAAGAATAAGCTGCAGGAAAATACAGGCTAGGTGACAAGGATAAGGTTACAAAGAGGACATCTGAAGAGATCAACTGAATCCTTATTAAGGGTAGACTAGAACAATAGCTTAAGAATTAAAATATGCAAATCATTCCCCAAAGAAAAAAAAAACAGCAAATGCAGAACGTGTGGAGGTAAAGATGAAACTTAATCGTATAATCCAGGTAAGAGGATAAAACGAGGTATGACTGAAAGCGGGGTCTGATTAGTTGGGATCTGTGCAAACAACTGAGATTTAACCATACACAACAATGGTATATTCACAAACCAGATTATGTTTTAGAGACTGAATAACATAAATCTTTCTGGTTCTTTGAGATTTAAAGGAGGTGTGGGTGGTGTAATGGATAACGGAACGAGAAATCTGAGAGCTGAGTTCGAATTTCTGTCTAGTTTCGTTACAATTTACTTCGCACAAATATCCTTTGGAAAAGGTATTAATTCATCTCTTTCTCTTCGGCAGCTATGAGTGTAATAGTAGAGCAGACTGCGTTCTTCCGACTTGGTTGGCATCCAGTCTAGGAGAAGGACTTTGAATTCAAAATTGTATGTAAACCCATATATGTAGATAAAATATGGGTGGAATTTACAATAAGTCTATGATCCCGACTGTGTCTGTTAAATCAATGAATCGGTCAATGAGATTGAAATCGATCACCAAATCCAGGCTTTGCCCTGTTAGTAGAGCCTAGATACGCCATTGAATCTTCTATAGTAAGACTATGTAAGACACCTGCACAAAAAATGGGAGGTACTTGCGGACTCAGGTATGGATGGCTAATGTTTTCCTGTAGATTCAAATACAAAAACGACCTATGGATTCAAGTATAAACATAAAACAGATTTCGAAGTTAAATCCACTAACATAACAGCGAGTCAATCAATATAGGCTAAAAGACTGGATCAGGTTATGGTAAACAAAGCAAAGAACATTTATCCGATAATGGGTTCCGTGGTTCTTGTAGATCAATGAATATAAATGGAAGAAAGTGAAAAGCTGGGCAAATATTCAGACCTGCAAGAATATTAAGAAAATTATAAATATAAAGGTGACAGTTATGGAATTCATTGTTGAAACGCTTGGAAAAAAATCTAAAGTGCTTTGTAAAATGGTTGGAAGATTTGGAAATTTGTGGGAGAGTCGAAAGCATTTAGACGACAGTATCGCTTTTGATTTCTATCAAGACAGGCAAGTGAGGAGCTACCGAGTCCTCACTTGCCCGTCTTTATAGAGTTCAAAAGCGTCTACACGGCCTTGTGGGTTTCATCCTGCAACCCCTTTTCCACAGAAGAAACGCCGGGCTCTTCTTGCAATTACAAATATTTCAGTTGTAAGAGTTCTGACGAGTTACATTCCTTGTTTCCACCAATCTTGACATTTGCAATGCTACGTACACGTCGTGGACGAAAAAATAACAAAAATGGTGTGTTCAAAGGACGGTTATTCCATTGACAGTGCTATTACTGTATACTTTCCTCACTCCCTTGACAATGTCGGAGGACGAATATTTTCTGTGAAAATTTCTCGGACATTCAGGCCGGTAAATGTTTTTTAATGCTGTTTATTATAAACAGAGCATTTACTTAAATATTTGCATCTATAAAAAGAATGTATAAACATAAAAATGTTTTAAAATTATTGTCGGACTTTGTCAATTACATAATGTGTGACGCCATTTGTTTACATTTGATACGCCATGAGCAGATATGAATGTACGTGAGAAATTCATGGAAGATTGAAGTTTAAATACAGTAAATTCGACGTTCCTAGCCGTACACTCCTCTGTGGCCAAATCGGTCAAAGGCACGTCAAGCTAAATGACTGTTCTGTATAGGATACAGGTTTCGAATACTGTCGGAGGACGAATATTTCCTGTGAAAATTTTTCGGACATTCGGGCCGGTAAATGTTGTTTAATACTGTTTATTATAAAACTGAGCATTTACTTAAATATTTGTATCTATAAAAAGAATGTATGAACATAAAAATGTCATAAAATGTTTATTATTTTAAAAAGCGATGATTAGAATTTTAACGAAACCCAAACATATGAAAGTGAATTTATAAATTTTCTTTGCTCATTGAGAATAGACAACAAAAATATTAAACACTATTTATTAGATTGCTTA